GCAAAAGTCGTTCCAGTGAAAGTCCGCTGGCCGAGTTGTGTATATAACTATACATGTAGATTGTGCCATTGCAGTGGTGATATGCGGGGTATTGCGAAACGTCTTTCGCGTATATGACCCAGTCGGCATTTCCGATTTACGACGACGATTGTAATAATGTTATCCATATAATAATGTCGTATAGTTGTTATTATTCACGATATTGCTGCTGCAGTATTATTACTATATTGCACATTGATATTATAACCAAGTATTAACAACATCTATACAATATTATGGTTTTATTAGCACACAGCCCCTTGCACTACGTTTTATAGTAACAGTAGAAATTTAATATTAGTATGACGCTTTTTTCGGAAATGTCAATATAATAAATAATAATAAAGTAAAATCGTTTTCCGGACTTGAGTTTGTTAAAATTAGCAATAATAATTTTAAAATATAAATATAAAATCTTCATAAATTGCTTTTTTTAAAGTACTTGATAGTTGATACTGTATTTTAAGTGCGGTGCACTTAGACCAGCGTCGACATCTCGCGACGTATAATAAATCGAAAATACTTAAATAACGTAACGATGCMGACAACCTGCTTGCTGCTGCACATAGTCCTCGCAGCGTAGACTTGTATAAATTAAAATATTATAGATTATTATATTACACATATAACCTATAGGTGTACGACGGGACCGACGGGGCGTTTCTTCTCGTCCGTGTATACATAACGTCCTATCACATAATAATAATATACGAGACAGAGAATTGGGTCAGACGCGCGCGCCATAAGGTTTAATTTTTTTGCYGCCGCCGCCGCTTCCCTCTGCAGCCCGCGTGCGGCCGTCGGTCCATGATCCTTCCTAAAACACCGATATTATAATATGTAAATTCAAATGTGGTGTTTATATCACTGCAGCATTATCGTTATTCGCGTGAACTACTTAGACGCCACAACCAGATGGTTATGTTATATTATAGAGTTGCGTAACCGCATTGTCAAAAAAAAAAAACCAACAAACAGCATTAAAACAACACGACGGGCGTGGATTGTGTCGTGGTTCGCCGCGTCCCTATCGTCGTCGTCGTCGTCGTCGGTGGCGTGTCGCAACATCATAATAACCGATCCGTTCTTATATAATTTCATCGTCTTTTTAGCATTATAATATAATAGTTTTATTATCTCACCGCGGCATTGCAGTGCAATGATTTGTATTTTAATAAATTATTATATTGGTATACGCGAATATTCCACCGACGGACAACAACTGCCGAGTCTCATTGAAAGAAAAAAAACGCTTAACGCCAAAATATATTAAAATAATTACCCATACTACTGTAACGTTTGTTACATCATTACTTTTATTTTATAAACATAATATGTACAATAGGTACATATTATATATGCATCTTACATATATAGCATGTACATTATGYTGACCAGATATTAAGCCCCTCCTCTCTTGTCGTTCATGTATACGACAAGCTACGATCAAATACTAATATACCTATAAGAAAACGGCAGTTCTCTATGATTAATATCACGTAAACTTAAACTCTGAGACTTAGTTTGTAAGTAATATAATAAACAYTATTGACAATTATTTAGATCAATCTACATTTATTATTGTTATGTTAAAATCCTAAATACCATTTGTACTCTCAGCCTACGGTTAAAATGTATTCAAAAGAAACACGATAATRTTCATATATCATCGTCCCGTCGCGACGTTTTTCGAATTCATTACGGTTTCGGTTTTTTTCCTAATACACGCGCGGGCTGGTTACGTAAATCCATACATAATATAGGTAATATACGTTACGWTGCGTATAATATTATGTACGACAAAATAATACCAGAACAAGATTTATTATTATGTTTATTGACGTCGTGGTCTGCTTCAGAATTCCCTAAACCGATATCCTTTTCAACCCCAAGGCCGTAGCGAGACATTTACGAGCATGAGGCCATAGACCTCAAACCCTTACGATGGGACTATTATGTTATATTATCGTCGACGATGTAATATAAAACAAATAGTATACAGAGATAATAATATGTGGGTCAAACGCGTACGACAATTGGTCACATCCCTTTTTCTTTCTTATACGTCACATATTATTATTAAGTTGCGGTATCCCATAATATGMGTGTATTCTTAAGACTTCTTCTTCAAACATTTATTGGTTTCGGTCAATTTAACCGCGTTAAGAAAGAATATATTATTATATTATAYTATACACACGTGTTACGACAGTTTAGTACATGGGGAAAAGAGTTTAAAAAAAACTGTCTACAATAGTGATTTAGTCCCTTACAAGTACATGACCCAATTCCAAGACAACAGTTGGTCACGGGTATTTTTTTTTACGGTCGGCGTGTTTCTTTTTCGGGTCTAAGGGCGTTTGACCTAGTTTCGTATTCGTCGTGTGTAACGCACGCYGATGGRTCGTCCTCCCACACGTTTATTTTCAGGTTAGAAAGAATCAGAATTTTTCGTTCTTTCATTCTTTTTTTTTTTACTCTTCTTTTTTATTCGTTTTTTTTTCATTTTTTTACCCGATGCCAAAACACACGCTGACCCGATTGCCACTAGAAATTGTTTTCGCCCACTGTTATCTGGCATAGATTTTCCGGTCCCTTTTTGGTGGGGGCTATACTGCTACACAATAATAGATATATATAATACAATTATATATATATAAGCCGTCCAAGGCTAAGACTCCGGGGAACAAAATATAAGTACACCATGCAATGAGAAAAAAACTCTCACACACAAACGCATGGACAATGTTTTTTTATATACGGCAATGGCCGTAATTTTAAAATYGCTTGATGTAATACATAGATAATAATAATATTTAATATTTCGATTTGCAGCCAATGTCACGACGACATAAAGGTAGGCCAAACGAAAAATTAATGACAAAAAAAAACATTACACTGAAAGACAAAACGTACAATATATAGCATMGACTTCCGACACCGATGCTATTATGATAATCTATACATAGATATAATAGGATTTAATATTATAATGACGTGTATACTCGATAAAATACGTGCTAGTGGAGCGGACGAAATGTGCGCGTTGTGCGAGTTATAAACATTGAAAGTGGATTCGTTTTCAAAACGACCGCCTTGTGTGTGTGTATATTTACTGTAAAGTGTATACATATATAGAKGTATACCGGAACAAATGCGAAATTCACCGTCGTCACTTTCTTTGTTCCGGATTGAGTGTTTATGAGGTGACCGAAAAAAAATCATCAGCGATCTAATTTTCACTATCGGTAATATTAATAAATATTATAATATAATTACAACCGATTAACTTATTATAATACGTTTAGTGTATAATGTGGGGAGGGATCTTTATCGATTGTTCATAACATTTGATACCAACTATATATATCCTATTGTTGTGTACACATTTAATAATAGCTAGTTAAGTACTATATAATGATAAATATATATCCGACGGTAGTGTATATATTATTAGAATATATACGCTCTTGCGTTTGCGGGGGAGACGTGTCTTTTGGGAAGCAGGTGAAAATGTGGGTCAAGGAAACGATGTGGCAACCGTGTGGCGGTGGCCGCGGCGCCTCAACCCACTTTCCCTTCCGGTGCCTTATCTGCCGGTCAATTATTCCCCCTCGCGTCTGCAACCTCACCTCTACCGCGACCATCCATCCCGACCGTAAATCCTGGCGGTGAGGGTCGCTACGGTGTCGGGACCTAAGTGTGTGCGATATATAATATGACGTCGGTGACGGGGGCGTTGCCTATGTATGTATTTTTATCGAATCGAATTATATTTTATATTTTATTAATCATAATATAATTAAAATACAAATACGGGCTTATGAAAAAATCGAAACAAGAGATGCTAAAACTAACATTAAATGGCACAATAAAAATCATATTAATTATATACTATAATTAAATATATATTGGGAAACGTTATGGCTAATACCTACGTGATGTAGCCGTTCTCAATGAAATGCCATCTAATCGTAATATATTGTAGCCGCATGGTCACCGTGCTGCACTTATATTCTTCATAATACCTTTGACTACTTATAATATAATAATAATATTATGCATGTGCACGTTTGTAGTACCTAACGCAAATGTTCTTTTGTCGATRCAGGTAATGAAAAAGACGAAAACATCGACTTCTTGGATCACCTCCGGATCGCCGGTAACGGTGGTATAGGAAACCAGGGAGCAGCCGACCATCTGCCTCCCAGACAACAGTTGTCATTCGCCCTGCCGCACGGATTCCATCACGCTGGTGAGTTTTCGATAGTCATAATTTAATATTGTAAGAATGATCATTATCTTATAAATAAAATATTTCATAAATACAAAATATGTAGGTCAATAGGCGTAGGTCACTCGGACTATAGGTAATAGGTACCTATTCTATTAAATGGCTGAATATTATCGTATAAACTATAATAACCATTGTCTACAAATRTGCTGCCAAAATCAAAACTGATGCTCATAGCGACATCAAATCTCATAAACTATTACGTCGCATCGTCTACCACAATAATATGATTCACAATCTTGACGGGCGTAGTGTTCGCATAATATTATACTATATTATTATACAGCATTATTACGATTTCGTTTCGTTAAAACGACGCGCAGCTGTGTCGTCACAACGTCTCGTCGTCGTGACCTAAATCTGCCAGGCGAAGCGCGTGCACACCTATAATAAATCAATGCATATGTTTAAGCAATATAATGTATATATAGGTACCACTTCGACCAGTGACTTTCTATTGTTTACACCGCAGTGGCGACATTATTCCGACTCGCGCATAACATTATGTCTATTTATACTCTTTACTTAGAATGTATGAACACGGCTGCCGCGTCGCGAGACCGGAAGAGCCGGTTCGAAGAAAGTCCGTTTTCACTTTGCGATTTGGAAGTTTCCGGTACATATTTATACATCGACGCGATCTTTTGCTATCTGATTTTTCTTCGGAGCGTTAAACTCGCAACGATACCAATAATAATTTATCATAATATATGAACTCGTTTGCACTATTATATATGTTACCTATATAATTTATTCGTTTGGTCGATCGATATTAGGATTTCATTTAGACAGATAACTTTATTATAGTACGCATACATATAAATATTCAATATTATAATACAGCAATTATTATAATATATTTAATATTAATTATCTTTGTCTGCGTTCGTAAAACTATATTATATTATTATTATTAAATTTATCATAATACATAATATATAGTTCTATTGTCCTGCAGACGKCGTTATATATTTTATCARAAAAATATCCATCGGCACTTCGTCATGATTTGATAATATAAAATGTTTAATTTATAATAATACTAAACGCCGTATGTGTGTCAAACGTCACGTTCAATATAGTATATAACGCGTTTTTACAGCCAATTATATACTCGAGAGGCCTTGAAACCCAAGAAACACCATGATTCGTTTACATGATTTTCTCGCCAAATAGTTTCGTAAAAATAAAATTTCACTTTTGCATCGTGTATTTTTAACGAATATTCTAAAGACGTGCAATGACTAAAACGCAGTATTGTTTAATGCCGATTTCCTCGACCCCGCCRACCGAACATTATATGCGTTATAGGCATCAGAAAGATGGTTTATATCGTTAAATTCGGTTCCCATCGGCGCACTCCGGGAAAACAATACTATATAACCCGCCCCTACTCCTTGTCCTGATCGGTAATATTCGACGGTTCGACGGAAACCACTGGGTATATATATATATGTTTATTATTACTATTATTATTTCCATTATTCGCAGGGTCGATCRAAAATCGTCTTCTGCGGCACACACCCCTGCCGCACGTAACGGCGATTATCGTGCTTGCCTACAATAAAGAATTTTGACCACTGGTCATTCCTTGGGAATCGTCGGTTATATAATAATATTACAATATTGTATGCGTTCATTATATATATTTCGCGCGGCGGTCAAACCCGTTCGACCGCTGGACGATGGTCAATATCGATGAGGGATATGAACAGCCCGTGATATCGTTTCTTCGATACCCCTTCCGCCGTGGTCAGCGGACCATGTTTTGGTACACGATGTGGACATCACCGGACACGACCGGTATAATAATATAGGTATACACCCCGGAAACCGGTTCTCCTCCCCCTGACTATTGTTCGGCCGCGGAGTGCATAAAGTGCAACAAAGTTTGCATATAAAATATGCGATTAAATTATAAGTGTGTTTGTGATATGTGTATATACGGCGCAGATCGCACACACCTGGAATTATTTTTGATTTCAATGCGGGACGATCTGTTGTATAGCTAGTGATAGGTACTTAAAGTAAAATAAAAAAAAAAACTGAAATTGAATAGGAATAATAATTCCGAGTGCACACAATTTACTGAAATTACGACATTCCATTATTCCAAATAGTTATTATTAAAATATACAAATATAGCAATATAAAAATTCAAACGATCTGCATCAATATTACAACCAATAAAAATATAAGTACATATAAAGTATATAACTTTTAGAAAAATTCTTAATTATTATTTAACTATAAATTTTCCGTAAACGTTGATGTTTCCTGGAGTATTGCATATTATATTGTATCATAAGATAAGAAAGCTCTTATATAATATATATATATATATATGTATATATTATAATGTACATATTAAAAACGCAATTGTTGTCTTGGCAGATTTCTTTCAAACATAAATTTCCATAGTTGTTTACGATCGCTATATATACGAATAATAGTGCTCATCGGTCAGTTTGATATTCGGTTGCGACCTTTGACATAACGGACATACAAAATAATAAATTACTACCGATTTATTTCCCGTCGTTCAGCTGTTGTTAAAAAAAAAAATCGGTTTTATAGGTATAGGTTTATGGGAAAGGTCATCGGTCTCCCCTTATATGTGTATATATGTAGATGGCCGATGGTCAGTCGCTGCCAACTGACCATCGGAACCAACGCGAAAAACAGGTTCCTATTATAATCCCTTAGGATTGAAATATTCAACGACCTCCGAGAATCAGCTTTTTTTTTTGTTCTCCAAGGCAAATAGTTGATGACGAACACGTTAAACGGAAAAAAAAAACCATAAAATCGTGTCATTGTCGCCGCAAAGACGTAGTGTAAAACAATATACCCCCCGGAATCGGAAACCACATAATAATAAATGTTTAATATGCAGACATGTAGATGTAACGATTTTAAGTCAATAGATCTGGGTCGACAGCATTTAATATATYKTAGGCACTCGGAAAAAAAAGAACCTCTAAATTCGTCATTGAAAAATCCTTTAGACATTGCGATGGGTTATTTGAGATTCAGACGGAAAAAAATTTTTGAACTCAACAGTTATATAATATGTATTTTGTGTGTACAAAAATGAACGACGTTACTTTATTATTATTATTGGACGTGTCGCATTTCAAAACACGTCATTGAATTCRGTTTTAAAAAATGATATGGTCTATCGCACTATGTCTTAATAAACTTTGCGAGCAAGTATAAACGTGCTTGGTTGATTTTATATTATAYATCACATAAATACAAGAAACGGCAAACAGCATAACATCTACATACCTAGTGTATATACGGTTGTGGGCGTATTGCCGGAACCGGATGTCCGTTGAAATTAAAGAACATTTATTATATTGTATAACGACCTACGGCGTATGTCTGTAGTATAATATAAACTCTTGAAAAYGATTCATGTACTCTGAGTACCTTTACCTATGCGTACGACTCGTATGATAACTAATACCGATTAGTACCTAATTAGTAATTACTAATTAGTTAAACTTATAGTTAACTGATTAAATTTTACTCATTTATCATTATACTATCTTTGATAACATATAGTAACAATACCTAACAATCAAATTTGAATAGTTTTCACTTTTCAGTTTTTAGTTTCAACGATTTATTTAAAATCGTCCTAATATAATAAAAGATAATAGATTGTAGTCACTAAACTATTATGAATTATGATATTCTCAAATTCACACGTGGTTTTATTTTTCATATTTTTGATATCGAAACAGAAATATAATAATATTTAAACTTTGATTACCAGCCCCGTCTACGAAATTGCAGAACGCAATGTAAACTACAATAAATATAACCATTATAAGAATATGCATAGTACATTAAGTAGGAAAGTGTGTCTATGCATGCGTTAATTACATTCTATTTTGTTTTTAACGTCAAATTTAAATTTAAAGCCGCAAATCATATTAATATTCTATAATATGTATTATAGTTCCGCAGTCCATGTTTTTATAACGTTGTGGTTTCGAAGGTTTTTCTAAAATAAACGGATCCGTCTGGGTGATCTTGGTATTATGTATTGTAATGCGTACCAATATTAAATATTTTAGAAAAAAGAAATACACGCGACAATAATATAATAACAATAATTTATGAGAACATATAATAATAACGATTAAATGTCRCTGTCGTCGGTCAGTCGGTTTCGTAAGTCAAAATCGTATGTTTTATTAATATTGCAAGGCGATAAAAATCTGTCGACGTCCCACAAAAACAACTACAATGTCGTCGTCATTTCGGTCGTCGCGCACAACTACCCATCGTGACGTAATACTCAGCGCAGAACGAACCGCGGGTGCTGCACAAGCACATCCGCAAGTTTTTTTTACGATTAGTTTTTCTTTAATTTATAGGTCATGTGTGTTCCTTAATTATATATATACATATTTTTTTTATTGTTTACACCTAGTGTTTCCTGTCGGCGGTCGCGAAAAACTCGCCGGTCGTAACTATTCGTCATCAATAACAATAATAATAATAATATTAATAACCGCTCTTTGGTGGCGGTAGCACACCATCCCTCGCGTATTGGATTTCCGACGAAAACATCAGAATTATGAAAACATCTGTGTGTTTACGTGCACGAGCATTGTCCGCGAAGTTGTTTTCGCAATATGCGCGCGCGCCAAACCCTTTCGTCGCAACCGTACATAAATACAAATAATAAAGCCGCAGAAGCAGCAGGCGTCGGTCCCATTGAAATTGCGCAAAGAGCGACACGCGCCACCGGTTTCCACAAAAGTGTCAAAAACCCTACACCGAATGATAAAACCCTTTTATATATAACATTGCTGCTACAGTGTATTATATTATGAACGCGCAATAATTGCGTCGTAGAAATGACAGCCGTCTAACCCTTTGCACGAAAAAAGGGTGGAAATGCCCCAAAAATCACACCGACCACGTATAATATGACGGTGGCTGCGAGTGCACCGCGGGACGATGAGAGGGACTACTGCAGGTGAACACTATGATCGTTGCCGTCGTTCAGCTGTATATACATATACATATAACGCACGTGATTGCACAACGACCCGCGCAGATGAGGATGTACTCGCACGACGACAACAAAGAGAAGAACCTACGTCACCCTTTTTGGGTCGAAATTCCGCGTTTTCAGCACAAAAAAAAAGTATAATAATATTATATTATATAATGTCTTTGACGCGGCAAAAAAAAAAAAAAATAATTCGGAAAAGAGGAAAAAAAGAGTTGTACGCACATTACAGCAGCAGCAGCTGCTCTACAGGGTACGTTTCCCTCACGGCCCCTTAAATAGGCATACACACCGCGTAAATTTTATTGATATTATATCATTGTTATTATTATAATCCCGTGGATTACGCCTTTTCGCGCGGTCCGTCGATGAGTTATTATATCGTTTCCCGGGGACGCAGGCGATCATATTATCGTTTATATATATTATATCATTTTTTTTTCGCTTTTCGGAATGTTCTCCGCTGATTCAGAGTAAAATCGAAAGACTCGTGTAAAACCGAGGAAAAAAACCGACGCGCGATGTAGAGAAACTCCCAAGGTCTCGGCGTGGGGTCAGTGAATTTATACGCTCGCCGAACCGGTTTCGCCGTCGTCAGACTCTCCTGGAACGGCGAAGACTTGCGCGGGCCCGAAGAAGAGGCGTAGTAACTATAGGAAGCGTATTATACTGTGGTGGTGGTGGTCGTTGTCGTCGTCGTTATAGTCATATAGCAGTCGTCATCCGGCTGCTTCTTCCTGCTTTTGTCTGTAACGGTCGCGGCGGCGGCCGCCGCCGCCGTTTCCTATACAATATAAAACACTCGCGCATAATAATTATTATACTTAACATATCAACAATGTCGTCACGGTTCGCACCATCACCGTATAAGACTGATAAATAGCCTCTTCTCGGACGTATCATGAAATTACAATATTATACTGTAATAATAATAATAATAAAAAATGATATACGATGTAAGCGAATATAGAGAGGAATACAAAATATGTAGAAGGGACGCGTAATCATTGTCCGTCATCGTCCGTCGTCCGGGGGACTTACTCGCGGACACGATGACTAATGGCGATGACCACCGCGTGTGATCTACACCTGTGCCGCCGACGTGGCATTTGCATGGGACCCGGTCGGCCGGTCTGAGCTACTGGCTAGTCGTCGACGACGCCCGTCAATCCGCCGCAGTGATTAATGGATCTATTTCGCGTGTTTAATCGGCTGAAACCCGTTTCCGTCTCGTCCAAACCTTTTTCTCTGTAATATATGATCGTTTACACTCAACGGTCATAACTGACGTATGAATAACTATGTACTATAGGGATTATTAAAGGGAATTTCCGCAGCCGTCGTGTCTCTCGTATTATTTTCTTTCTTTTCCGGGTGCGTTTCTCAACAGTGACGGACACCATTATATAGGCATAATTATATACAGACGGTACCACCATGTCGGAGAGGTTGTAGCCCTCATAATTTCTCCTTATTAATCCACATGGTTTTCACACATATAATTTTTCTGTCATTTAGATTTACAAATACAAAATTAGCTTAATTGTTTATTGCAAAAGAAGATTGGTTCTCATTTGAATTAAAAAAGTTAGTACCACCAGGACACTTCTATTAAGTAATGGTTAGTATACAACAAATCCTAGCATTTGCAAAATTTGAGAAATAGTCTTACAGGATACATACTCGTTCTCAGCCAATGTTATGCCTAAAATTGAAAAAAAACATTTTTCATGTCTTATTATCCAATATATAATTGAGGGTCAAGCCACATAGTTGCGCCTAGTACAAACACAATCGAGTATAATATAGCACATAAAACTACACGAGTTATTATGAGTGTTATATTATTATTATCTTTATACTTCGTTAGACCGTTGACTCGTTAACATATTGCTACGCTGTCGAAAAATAAAAATTATTCAATATATAGGTATTTTCGTGTAAACTGGACGTATTGTTTATACTATATTATATTTATATTTATTCTGTACATATATTATTTAACGTCGGTATATCCGATTGTTTACGAAAAACCTCGTGTTCTATCTCAACCGGCGTAAAATAGCAAAAAATAAATAAATAATGATATAACATCGTTGGAAATTAGCGGTGAACCAGATATTGTTAACGTATATATATGTATATATAGTTATACATTTGCAAAATGTGTATTTAACAGCTGATGTGTATAATAATAAACATAAATTCTGTAGTGGATTTCGTAACGCGCCGCGAATTTTACGACACTGTTTAGCGCACAAATCGACTTGGTCAAACGCCTAAAAATAAAAACCGATTGTACTCGTAACATTTATTTTTTAACTAACCATATCACATTCATAAAAATGATAAATATAATTTACAATATTAAATCATAGTATGCCTATAATGATATGTATTAGGTATGTATATTAAATATGTGCACAGTGCGCACGACACGCGTCAAATATTGTATTAGGTTATAACACTTATAACAATAAATTACGTTACGTGTCAGTATTATACACACACGTGTTGATTAAATATTATCACTCCGCGTATTGACAATAAATCGAGAATTTAATCTGCTGGTCAACGAGGACCCCAGAAACCCGTCGTCATCGGTGCGTAAAACAAAATTATGATATTATTTCACCCGAACAACTACCACCGGCGAGACGGTCTTATTTTTTTCACTTAAATAATAATATAATTTTTCTAACTTATTAGTTATTATTATTAAAGTAAGAAGTAAGAWTTGTTAGGGAAAACATATTTTAATTACGACACGAATCCGACAGTCTTAAGTTACGACTCGTAACAGGTTATAATATTATATAGATATAGATACAAAGTTTTATATTGCAGTTTGCCGCCTACACGTTTTGAATTAATACTGTCCCGACCTAACACAACCAGTCCGCGACTATTATTATGGTATACACTTGCCTGTATACCTATTAATATCATATTAATTATTCTATATATATATTGTAATATTATTACTGTTCTATTATTGTTTATATACTTTTTGTAATTGCCGTTTGGCATAAATAAAAAAAAAATATATATATATAGTATTCGTATTACGAGTATTTGAAATACATATTATATTCTGTAGAGTTGGGCAAATTAATATTGAACAATTATCTTAAGTTAAATAGAGTTAGATTAAAAAATTCCAACTTGTTAACTTTTAAGTGAATATATAAGAAAATATATATATAATTTTTTAATTAGTACAATATCACATCAATTAGTATATTTTACTTTTTTTATGGATGTTAATTTAACAGTAATTTAATGTAGCTTAGAATTTAAATAGAAATTTAACTCACTTGTTGCAAATAAAATAAGTTTTCCAACTAGTTGCCCACCTTTGCAGATAATATGGAATACTATAATAAAATATATCCTTACAAACACTATATTATACCTATAATATATTATTATGCATGTACAACATTTACATAATATAGTATATTGTGTACGATAATACTACATTTTATTGTAAAAAATACGTGTGCTTCTCATTGTATGAATGCGCTGTGTATCATATATTATTATCAAGTGTTTGTATGTAAACTGTATATCTGAACGTGTTTTCTCGTATCGTTTCAGGCTCTCTTCCACCTAGCCCGGCGGACTCTGGTGTATCCGACGTGGACAGCAGCAGCAGCGGACACACGTCTACCGACACAGAGCTCAGGGCTCGGCTCCAACCGCACCAGTATCACCACCAAGGTCAGATTATGTTCATGATATTAACCGACTGTATTATATATTAAAGTTTTTCCTCTTCTTCGTCCTCTACATCGTCTACGGTACTAATATTATAATAATGTCYATAAAACACAACATTTTATAATATTGCTCTAACCTAACCTTTCCAACACTTGTCCGCAATCTTTTAACACTGAAAATTTATCTCTATTTCCGCCTTATTTGTGTCTTTTACAAACTTACAGCTTTCTAAAGCCAAGGGATTAATATTTTTGGGTTTTTGTTTTTGTTTCATCGTTTCTGTATGCCGTATCAGTCTCTTCTTGCGGCCGCCGTACTAGTCCTGATCCGCAGAGCAATGCGCAATGTCACCAACAACAACAGCAGCAACAACAACAACAACATCAACAACAACAACAACAACAGCAACAGCAACAACAACAACAGCAACAGGACTTGTTCTCCAGGATATATGGAGTGAATGCTCCGCCACCCGGCGCTTACCATCATCCTGGTCCTGCACCCCCGTCACCCAAACATCCTCTTTTCATGCGAAACAACCGTGAGTGTTATTAATTTTATCATTGTAATTAAATCACATAGGCAATATAATATTTTAATATTTTATTAGTATTTTCATATTTATTGATACAATTATCGGACAAAAAAGTAAAAACCGTTCTTAGATAAAACGACGGCTATCTAGAAATTCGCTCTAGGCTAAACCGATTTAAGATTATCTCACATTATCCAGCACTGGGATAATGAACCATGTAAATTATATGGTCTAAAAACATCAAAGTGCGTTTTTTCACAACGGATTAATATAGCTAATTCCTAATTCCTAGTATAATAACTGAAATAGGGTTTACTTAAAATTTTATTTAAAATATGTTTCTTGAAATCAATAAAAAGATAAAAATAAATAAATATCACGCGAATGAYTCATTCTACAAAATGTTTTTACCATTTCGTTTCGTCACTTGTGGTCAATCGATCAATCGATTATATTCACCGTCTATCTCATCGACTGCGTGTCTCTTGAAGGTACTTTTATACCCGTTTGTGAACATTACAGGAGAGAGGAAACGATGGTAATGTGTGCTCACTAAAAGAGACGGTGGAGGAGAGAGAATGTTGTAAATTTATTGGACGTGTGGTTGGTCAGTAATAGTCGTTTTGGCGCAAGTCGCCTGATCTTTGTGTGTGCAAGTTGGAACAATGATATGATGAATATCTATATGAAAAAAAAATCTTTGCGATGAAAACGAGTTTACATTCTGCAGTGTTGCCACTTGCCAATGCGGTCGAGGTGGGTTGGCCTGAGGACGATTGGTGGTTTTTTTATTTCGTTTTCTAGCGATTTGCGGAAAGGGAGAATCGGTGCTGTGCGGTGGTCACGTGACCACCTCGAAGCGAATGCATGTGAGTTGGTGTAGCGCGCAAAGTGTGTGTGAGAGAGATAGACAGACACGTATATGGGCGCCGGACGGACGTCAGACTGAGTGCAGAGGTGGATATTATGTACCAATATACAAGACCGAGAGTGAGAGAGTATACTATATGTATATATATATAACAAAAAACTAACGATATGCAGATGTGAGCGAGACAGACTCACAGACGCGTAAGAGGAGAGGAAAGAGAGAGAGAGAAAGAGCAATGACATACTAACACTTCAAGGTTAACTCTCACTCGCGCGCACACTATAATATAATATGCATTATCATACTTGGAGATRGATATCGAATACACTGTGGCTAAATATATATAATGAATAATGATCCATTCTGATTTTCGTAGATCGTGAATTGTTCGTGATATGCGATCTCCTCCCGTGACCTTTCGCCGCATCGATAGCGCACGTCTATTATTTTTTAATATAATATTATGTTTATAATAATATAATAATAATACTATCTTATCAATTCCGCGACCGATTTCGCGACCGCTCTCGCTCTGCACAAAAATTTATAGCATTTGCATAAAACCGTATTGTAGGTAGTAGGTAGATATAGGTGCGCTGCACGGACGTGTTTGGTGTTTGTCGAAATAATATGATTAATAAATCATTTTACGCATTTATATCGCGACGTGCACGCTCTCGTTAAGAGATAACACGAAGCGCCGTGTGCAATTATATAACAATATTGTTGCGTTATCGCATTCAGGAAGTGTACAACACGTAAACACACAAACACGGCATACGATAATATTAAAGAATTAATAATAATAATAATAATAACTCTGCCTCCGACCACCGTACAGATTGCAGACGTTGGCGGTGGCTTATAATTTTGTTTTTCACTTTATTACTATTCGTCGTCGTCGGGCACAATAGGAGCGACGATGATAGTGGCAGAGAGTGCTTGGATAAATAGACAAACGGCTTGTGCGTATAATTATTATGATGAAATGAAAATAATAGTTAATACATAATGTTCACATTATTCATTACTTATTATATACTTAATATACTCGTATATGGTATATGCGCGCGTTTATTTGGATTGAGTACGAATTTTTGCTAAAAAATTTAGGCACAACGACGACATGTTGTTATTCAAAAAACGCGCGAGCGAGCGTTCGCCTCACCCTCACCCGCTCCGTCACCGTTGCGTAACGCTCCACTGCCACTCGTCGAGAACCTACCGGTCACGTGGTCGACGTCGCCGCCGCCGTCGACCTTCGACGATGCTTCACGGGAGTCGTCGTCTCACACGCGGCAAATTCCGTTCCATTCGATAGCGATTTTTATTTTTATACACGAAACGACTTCCGCGTTCGTCGCCGAGTGTTCTCGGTAATTTTTTTATTCCCTCTTCACATAACAACAATATAGGTACCTATATAAAATAATAATATCGTATACCCGCGCGCCACTCCTCTCCGTCGTGTAGTTCATTATTTTTTTCACACCCGCGACGACAAAACGATACCTATGATAAATACAATATTATTATAAATTATCGACAATTGTTCCAGTTCTACTGGTAGTGACAATTCGACGACAATAAAACCTTAAAGTATGATATAATATTTTTAATAATATGCACATTATGCAAATTATGCACATTTGCTTATTAGTAAATGAAGCGATTTTGATGTCTTCCAGCACACTGTATAATATAAATATGATGAATTGATGACTAATGAACGTTGATAATTAAATCGTCATGTCAGACACCAATATTATAATTAAATATTAGATTAATTCAAAGATAAATTCTAATTACAAATAATAATTACAGTACAATATTTCAGTTTGATTAATTTTATAATCGTATTGCTTGTGTCAATGGCGAAAAGATAAAATACTAATAACAATATAATACTATTCTATTAAAACTCCCRTCTATAATACATGGGTAATGACTAATGAGTAATGACAATTTGACGAATAATAAAACATAAAACCTTATTCTGTATTCATCAGTAGTGATCAGCTTTTTAAAATATTTTTATTTTTTTTTGGTTTTCGGACTATTTCATTTGATTATTTTAAATAGATTTATATAGAGTTATATAATTTCGGACCATAAAACCATGCGAATTTTCCCTKTAGGGACGCGCGTGACGACGGTCCACGTGAATCGGCCCGCGGTAGGTCCCGGCACAGCTGCGGCGGCCATCCGATTCTGGCGGAATGCGAATAACGGCGTCGAGGGCCGGGCTCGTGCTTAGAGCTGAAAATAGCACTCGTGAACTACAGTCGGATAGATTTAACGACGGCAGCTGCAGCAGCTATTATTTACGAATGCGCTTGGTGGGCGCGAAACGCGGAAATCGTGGATGCCACGCGCACGAAACTCGATTGGTTTTCGTTCCCGGAAAGACGATACCGGCAGTATAATACTTATTATAATACAGGGCGTTTCACAAACAATGAATTGTTTTCGAATATTTATAAATTTAGTCGAAGAGGTATCATAATAAACGCGAATAGGTACGCATCACATGTTAGAGAATACTCTCACAAAATAATGTTATATTGTGTATATCTATGCGTCATAGTTGGAAATTTCATTGGTTTTTATGGCGGGAGGAGATTAAAATATTCCTAAACAAAATGGACTAATGAGCCAATTAATGATATAGAAAAAAAATATTGTTTTAATTTTGAGGGAAGCTTTGAATGATTTTGGGAGGGGCTTAGAGAGGGTTGAAAGAGGCACCCTAATCACCACCTTTCCCCCCAAGAACGATATCGAAACGGTATTCGAATTCCTTACAAACTCGTCGCAATGGTAAAAGGAACACTAAGCAATGTCTACTGATTAAGTATAAACTTCTATTTTAAAATGCAAGCGAATGTCAGTTCATTTTTTCATTCCGTTTGTAATCTGTAAAATAATCGTATCATCAAGTTTATCGTAGTTTATTTTAGGTAACTATCGTTTTAAGGTTTTAACTATCATTCTACATTTCCTTGTCCACGTAACACGTGATTCGGTTTTTGCGATATATTATTAGTTGCACGTACGAAAACACTGCACTATGTCGTGCGCGCGCGCGCACACACACACACACACTCGCCCGTGATCGCGACGGACGTGACGTATACACACGGCGTACGTGTGTGTTAGAGAGAGATTGAGATYGAGAGAAGGATAGGTCGATCAAGTTCAAGGTGAACAAAAAAAAAATATACACGAGTATAATACATATTATGGACATCGCCGTCTGGGTTTCAACACCGGTTCGTCCGCCGCCGTGATCATTGTCGAGGGCTTGCGTGGGGAAGCGCCGCAGCCACTTACATATGTAAACCTATACTACGATCTGCCGTTTTAATCGTCTGTATATTATATACTATTATAGTATTAAATTATTACTTATGACGTGCATACGATGTATGTCGTAACCTCGTAAAGAGAACTAAAAGTTACGACTAATAACGTTTTTCGTATATGAGCAGTATAATATGACCGCCGTATAGGCGTATGTTTGAAACTGGTCCGCGAGTAAGCATCCCATCCGCTTGGACCGCGGGTATATTCGGTAGAAAAAAAAATGAAAACACCGACCGGACGAAACGGAAATCCGTTTACAGAACGACACCGGCCCAACAATAATATATTATTAACACGCCCGGACGTATTTAATGCGCATACCATTATAAAATAGGAAATAGAAGACGTTTATTATAATATTTTAATCTCATTTTGAATGAGAATTTTCGTCATCGTCGTCGCCCGTCGGACGTCCCCACAACGGTTTCCTGCTCTCTATAGACCGCGTGCGTGGCTCATGTATTTATAATATATAATATAATAAGATTGCGAAATGGTCAAATGCGTCGTTTACATTTTATACATGTTGCATTGTATTGCACTCATCAGTCATCACTAGCCGAAACGCGTGTCCACACTGTGCACCGTAATATCATCWTATGATGCGTTCACTTCTGATTCCGGAACTTCCCCAATTGTTGCTTTTCTCGGACTCTGTCGCTCGAAAAATCGAAACGACCATGATCAATTTCTATTGGCGAGCTGATTTGTATATTATTATAGCCACCACTGCATTATACACGCTAAGGCGTTGTAGCGTCCGTTTGTCTCCTTTTAAGGACGTCTCGTGCTCAAAACCGGGAAAAATGTGTACGCCAGGGGCGTCATTTGGGGGTGGCAGGGTGTGCGGTTGCACCCCTTACTTTTAGAATGTTACAATTGGCCTGCGCCTTGCTGAAGCCTAAAATAATGCACGAGCCACGAATGCACAATTATTTATATGATTAAAATCAAATTGTAATAACCGGTCTATAATGTATGGAAATAATTGAATGCAGGATAATATACATATACGTATGTATATCTATTTTTATATGGCCTGGTGAAATTTCAAAATGGCCTGCTTGAAATTTTGCACACCCGAAAAAAAACCTGAAATGACGCCCTTGGTGTACGCGCGACGTAATTATATTATGTATACATGAATATTATRCGGCGRCAGTCTCTTTAAAATAATAATAACAAATAATGAAGAACTAACACCGTGTACACGACRACCGCATTTATTTTTTGTGCGGAAACGCGTTCGGAATGTTTAGAAACTGTTATCGGTRGGTATAACGTGGAAACGCGGGTGAAACATTAGCAACCTAACAGGTAGTGTATTAATAACTTGAACAGTTGGAATACTAAATATTATCTGATGGGTGGATATGAGCAGAACTGAGTATACTGTCTTATAGACTAATAATTTATGCAGATTGTTTTAACGCTTCGGTCATTCCAATATTATATAGGTACCTAAAACTTAGTAATAAAACCAAGGTCAGTATCAGTGCGCCACTATGATAATTATTTCAAAATCGAAAATCTAGGTTTTTTTTTGTCGTTTCTTGTTAATTGTATATTTCTAGTCTGAATAATATACCTACAAAACCAGATAGCTTTTCGTCTGCGACCGCGTGTTACAACACGCGCACTTGTTTTTCATGAACGCCCTTGAAACGACCGCTAAAGTACATGTTCGCGTCTATAATTCAATATTATTATATGTTGTAAATAATATATTATAATATAATATAATTATTTCGACTCGAAAAACAGTATTTTATCAAATACTTCTTCTCTGATGTTTATGTGGCACCTAAGAATTATATGTTATTATTTTTACTTTTTTACTAACGTTTTCCGTGTTTTCGTTTTTTTTTCGTACACAGATCCTTATGGAGGCGGCGTTGCTGGCTACCACCCGTCGGCTGTCGGCGGCTACGGTCCGGCTGCCAGCCCCACATCCGCTGGCCACTTCGCCATGCCACCGTGCCCGCCTTCGGCCGCGCTCCCGGGCACCGGAACCGTGGTCGGTCGCGGTTCCGTCATTCAGGCGGCCACGGCCAATTGTTACCAGCCCAACGGCGCCGGGGCGGCTAACCTCAACGATCTATACTACATGGACTTTGGCGCGCCCACCGCGACTGCAGCCATGTACCACCAGAAGGTGGTCGGAAACAAGAGCGGCAGTAGCAAGAAACCTAAGAAGTATGGCGCCGTCGGGCGRCCGTCTGCAGCCGGTTCCCCGGGAGCCGTCCAACAGCAGACCTGTCCGGCCACTGGACCTAAGAGGAAAAGCCGAGAAGGTAAATTATTGTTTTGTAATTTTACCGATGTGCGAAACAAATCGCGTATTTATCATGATTTATTTTTTATAAATGTTGTATAATATACTAACGGTGTTCGTTTTTTTTTTTCATATACAGGTTCCACGACTTACCTTTGGGAATTTTTGCTGAAACTGTTGCAAAACTCCGACTATTGCCCAAGATTCATCAAATGGTTGAACCGGGAAAAGGGCGTTTTCAAGTTGGTCGACTCGAAAGCGGTGTCCAAGCTCTGGGGAGAGCACAAGAACAAACCAGACATGAACTACGAGACGATGGGACGTGCTCTCAGGTACGAATTTATGTCAATWTAAACTATTATATTAAAGTGTTTATCAAAAACGGTTCGAATACAATAACGAGATAGTTATAAGTAATAACTAAAAAATAGATMGGACGAAACCTAAACTTGGTATGGAACAGACGCCAATGTTTTTCATGTATACAAATTTTTTAATGCATTTTTAATGATAGTGCATAGCAACACTGTCTCAAAACTATTAGCAAGTAATAGCCATTTATGCAGTATTATAAATGTAGGTACATGCTTTATTCGTTCTCACTCGCTGGTGATGGTATTAGTTAGGATATTATATTATGATATCGGTACTGGTGCACGTGCACGATGTGTAACGTCCGCATAAATCAGTAACGATCGTTGTATAATAAATAATAACATTATAAAACATTTAAACATAACTATATATATATCTGCCCCAGCTTCTTACCTATATGATGATAGCCTATAGGTATGTAATAATATCGATCCATCGATTAATTTGCTTTCGACGACCAGACGTTGTTTGTAAACACCGTTGCGTTATTTATATACGACGGTCTGAAGCTATGTTGCTGCAGATAACGTCATATTATTTTAATAATGTTTCTTAATATTCAGCAGCCAACAAAAACGCGTATAATGTAATACAGCACSATATACTATTATTTTATAATAATAATATGTTTGTTACGAAATGATTTTCTTTTATCGAAATATACATTATTCTGTTATCTGTATTCGATTTTGAATCTTTTTTTTTAATTAACTCCGCTTACGTCGGGCTACTTGTGTGTAGTTAATTTCACCAGTAGACTCTGTATGAAATATAATAACATTAATTCTATATAATATACGAGTGCACAGTGAATTATAAATTAAACTACTCGAGCTATGAACAGGTTTCAAAGTTTTCGCGTTTCCGGATAGGTACTACATACAATGCACGTTTAGGAACGACACGCACATATCGCGTATAATGCAACCGTTCTCCGCACGATCTTTGACTATAATGTTCTTACGTGTATCACCGTGTGGAATATATCACCAWATCGGCCCCTCAACCATAACTCCATCAAAGTCAACAAATTAATTAATTAAAACAAATTCGTTTGTATACTTTAATAATATAATACTTATTAATAGTTTAATATTACTCTGTTAAAACTTACTTATCGCCTTATCGGTTTAGGTTTTTTTCAATAAAATATAATAATTAACAAACAAACTGCAATAGTAATAATATGCTCGTTTAGTATTTTAACACGATCGTTGAACACACTTTAAATTCACGTTGTCTTGCGTACCTGAATCAAAAAAAACGAATACAAAACCGTTTAGATGATTCTGTGAGACTTTAAAACGAATTATATCATTATTTATTAATCATGTTCCGAATAAGGTATAATGTAATGTAATATACTAATATCCATATCAATAATCGTTCATTTGTTTGTTCGTTCACAGGTATTACTACCAGAGGGGAATTCTAGCCAAAGTRGACGGCCAGAGGCTGGTGTACCAGTTTGTCGACGTTCCCAAAGACATCGTAGAAATCGATTGTTCCGGCGCATAAAGATGTGCGTAAACCTGAAAACGACCAAAGACCTCGTGATTATAATATATATATATATATAGTCATCCTCATCATCGCAGTTGCTATATAATAATTTATTCTTTTCATCTCGGATGCAGAATCGTCGTCGCCTGTCCGTCGTCATATTATTATTATTGTTGTTTTTATTATTTTATTATTGATATGATTACCATTTCTGTATGTAGGTAAGATTCAACCTGCGTATGACGTGTAAAACATATTGTACATAAGATGAATGTATGTGTGTACATGTGTTATTATATATACTCGTATATATTATATTAGTATATAGAATACTGYACTATCCGAGTTCAAACTCATCTGCCGTGTAAATATCGCGCAAAAACTTGTGTTTCTTTTTTTTCATATTATTATATTTTTTTTTCTCGTGAACGCATGTGCCGCCACCGTCGTCACTGCTACCGTTTGAACAATTTATAATATTATAATAATGTTTGTATAATAATATATTTTGATGTACTCCCTGCTGGCTGTGTGGCTGATGTGTAGTTGCAACCGCCATCTGTGTGCATATGTATATGTGTGTGTGTGTGTGTAAAGACTGACAATAATTAACCGAGAAGATATTATGATATTATATACTAAAAAAAAATATAATATATTTAATGATATTAAGAAAAGTAAAAAAAAAAATATAAATATATATATATATACATATATAAAACGTAAAGTTATTAATAATATGTATATATATATATTATATAAATTAATTATTGTTAGTTTGACCGATCTCTACGTTTTTAGTATATATCATATATATATATTTGAAACAAATCTCGAAACGTGTACAAAATTTTAATTATTATTATTATTATTATTATTATTATTATTTTAATTAGGAAAATAAATTCGATTTGGAACAAATGAAAAAAAAAGATGAAAACATTTTTATTATATGCACACGGCGCATATACGTGTGTGTATAGTTTTATTTTTACCATTTATCATAAATAAAATTATTGCAATTGTAATTTTTTTTTATACATATTTTTGTTCCGAGAACGCGTTTTTTTCTCAACTTAAGTCAACGAAACCCCTTATTACTGTACATAACCATAATTTATAAGAATAGCTTTAAGGTCATAATATATTATATTGTTGGTGTAAGTTTTTAATTATTCTTGTGCATATATATRTACACATAAAATATTATGCTATGTAGGTACTAATAATGTTATGTGTAATTATATTTCTGTGTAAAAATTTTTTTTCGAACTATTTTTGTATGCTTTTTTAAGTTAAAATTATTATTTTTTCCTTTTATTTATTTTGTTGTTTTTGTATGTAATTTTAAGAATTTAATGTGTTTGTGAACCATTAACGTGGACAAAATCATTGGCAAAGGATGTTTTTATATTGAATAATATCTTACCTTCGCGTCGCCTCAAACGAATAACAARCAGACTTTTAATATAATCCGTACTTAAACACATTTAATAATAATACGATAATATATTATGTATATTTTATATATTTTTATTTTAATAACGCTCGCGAAACTACTCGTAAAAGCTCAAAAAATAGACGACTTTAATATGTTATAAAAATTATTACTATACACGGTCTAAATATTATGGTGATCACAATGAAACTGTTTACCATTATAATTGTTACGTCCTTTAAAAAAATAAATAAATAATATTCATGACTTAATAATTAATATTTCAATGTTATTTGTATGAAAAACTAGTTAAAATATGAATTTAACCAACAAAAACGTACTATAGGGACAGCATAATGTCGACGCGCACGACGTGAGGAGCACATGTAAAATATTCTTAATTATTTATCACTCGTACCGTCAATTTTTCGTAAAACGCGTTTTTTAAAAACCTCAAACTATACCATGTACCATTATCAAATGATATACAGCACCGATATTATACGATAGCGAATTATTATTATTATTATTATTGTTAGGTATATTATATTTTGCGAATAACAATAATTGTTGTTATATAATTATATTGTTATTACTACTATAAATTACCGTCGTCGGTTTGCTCGTACCTATTATATTTCTAATATTGCTCAAAATATGAAAACTAAATTTTTTCTCAATCTTTCTCTCTCTTTCTCTCTAACTCTTTCTTTTGGTTTTTATTTCCTTCGTTGTTTTCTGTAATAATATACACTTTATTGTAATATATACTCGCCACTCGTCGTTTAACGTCGTATTGTTACGATATAATATAATAATACATAATATGTAAATTTTTTTTTGGCTAGCTGATTGCAGCAATGTGCACTGCACAGTTCACATTATTGTTTGCTTTGTCGTCGCGCATACGTTTGTTCTGGTATTGTTATTGGGGAGGAGGTGTGGCTGAGAGTCGGCGTTGGAGGGGGGTTAGGTAATTGTCGGATGGTTGTATTCGAATTATATTGTGCAGTTTAAAAATTCAGACGAAACAAAAATCAAGCAGTGTTCGGATGAGTAAAAGGCCTTTATTTGTAATACATCGATATGTGATTATTATAATATATTTTAAATTATTATTATTATACATAATATAATATACTGGTGACGAATTTGTAGGAAGGTTTTTATGTTATATATATATATTTTTTTTTTGTTCTCTCCTTTTATTTTCTTTAAATTTTACGTTCCGTTAGAGACTGTGAACCGGTATGTGATTGAATTAACGAGAAATCGAAAGGAATTTATTATACACATAGGTATATAGATAGATATATAGATAAGATGTGATTTATTAAAAAAACTAAACGAATAAATGTTTTTTTTTTTTAAAACAAATTTTCTATGAAATTGTTATAATATATACTGTGTACCTAGGGAAGAATTGATTATTTAAATATTATGTTGTAAAATACACAAAATATGTTTTTTTTTTAAATTTCATTTTTGTATTTGACGACGCCCGCAAAACGGCGTTGGAGAAAAATTATACATACGTTGTATAATTTAGTACACTTTTAATTTATATACATGTATACATGTTACATACATACATATATATTTGTGCGTGTGTATGTGTGTGTGCGTGTGACGTTAGCTTAATATTTATATAAAAACAAATCTTTAATATATTATTATACGTGTGTATGTATATAATAAATGTTTACTTTTAGGAAAAAATGTTCGCAATTTTTATATATATATATTATAATAAAATACGAAATAAGACCAGTAATAACATTATTGTTGTATTATATATTGTTTATGTTACTATAATATTGCTACAGTCCTTGTCATTGTCATCGTGTCCTCGCAATGCGTGATGATGATAATGTRTAATATTACAATATYATATGTACCTCATCGGTAAACGATGAGCTGCTACCGCTGAACTGTCATCGCAGCCCCTTTTAGCCCGGCCGTAATTTTGGATCAGGAGCGATAATATTTTTTACGATTCTTTTTACGCAGTCTCCGAACTATTTATAGACATTACCGGAGGTACTCGTCGCGACATATACCACTGCGGCGACGTTTGCACAAAATTATTGTGAGGGCCCGTCAGTAAAATCTCCAGCTAACAGTGCGTGTGTGGTCCGCACAGAATACTGCAACATAATCATTATTATATCATTGCTCATTACTAATGAGTCATTAGTAATGATTTCGTCGGTATCTTCACCAATAGACAATTATGGTGTCTCACCGGGAATTGAAGAATGTTGTTACATTGATAATGATTATAGTTGGTCACATGGCGATCGCATTTATTTCCAACATTCACAGCTTTTAATTTATTGTGTGTGTGTGAGTGTGTGTGCCTATAAGTTTGGTATAATATTRAGTTTTTGAATTTTTGTTATAATTTAGCAAAGAAAAATATATATGTTAAAAAGAACGAAAGTTATACCGCCGTCCTCTTACCGGTTGCGTGGTTTTTGTGCCACAAAAATTAATGTTTTTAAGCATATTTTTGCATTGAAAAGCCATTTTATAGGGTCTTATTGATTATTTCAGTAGAGCAATGATGTTTAGGCAAAAAAAACTGTTAGATAAGTACTTATAAATGTGCTAATTTATGAATATGTGTTGCATTAAATATTATATTATATTTATATGCATTGCACATTGCATTTGATTAAATCAGCGTACAACTTATCATATTCCAGTACGTGTTCGACCTCCGTCCGAGACACATACATGTGACATATTTATTAGCTTCCGATAGCAGTATTTATCATAAACAATAACCATCGAGCCGGTATTTAACTCCCTATCTTGATCCATATTAATACCTAATTAAGCGCCACCCACACTCCCTAGTGCAATTAACCGATAAATTGCTACGGAAAATTTATCAATCATGAATTCCCAAGAACAAAATATACAATCTACATCTCATTTAAAAACCTTTACACAAACCACGGCCAACACTAAATTTCCAAAAAAAGAACAAGCCATTRTTTTAAACACTATCAATGATATACCCTCAAATAGAATATATAAAAGCACTCGGAAAAATTACACCAATCAAAAAATAAATATATTTTGCATCTCGGTTCTCCAATAATCGATTCTGCGTTTATTTTACGGACAAATGTGCTGTTGATGAACTAATTCAAAATTATTCATGTATTACAATAAACGAACACCAATAATACCTTTTTGTCACTTGGCTACCATAGCAAAAAGATTTATTATACTTCTAATGGCCATCTGATAATCCCACACGCCACACACGACGTAATCAATGAATATTTTATATTAGCCGGCATCGCAGAACATYATCGCAAATCACCTTTCTGAAAGCCGGTTTACATGATGAACTAGCACACATCAGCAGTTTTCGTCGTTAGGTATAGATACACCCCGAGTCCCCGACGATATTGCAAATGTCCCCGGGTCACTAGTATAATTAGATAATATATGATAACAAGTAACAACGATTTCAGAATCAATTTAACCTACGGCACACTTGTTACATATGGAAACAAACTGCTGGGCATACCTCTAACTTTTGCAAAAATATCTGAAAAATACATATGATAATAATAATAGTAGACAAACAACAGAAGTYGAGGAACATATTATAATATCCAATGACCTAATCGGTCCACTAATTTCAACGGAAATAGATGTAAATGATACCCCAAACAACGGGCGGTGACGCAAACCTCACAAAACCAATAAAATCTAATAACATCATAGTCATCATAAACGAACCAATAAAAAGACTCCCTCCATCGCTAAGTAGCTCGTTACCATCAACAACTAGGGCGCATCATATCGAACAACAGGTTAATATGAATTTCCGAACAGCCCAAAACCATAAGAGCAAAACTAATAGATTAAAACAGAACAAACGGTACAACACTCAGTTCAGCCAAAAAACTAAAAAAAGCAGCTCACTCGAAAACATTCACAAACTCAATGAAGTACTCAAACTCGCAGAAAGAATTTTTTTCAAATAATACAGAAATTTCACAGAAAAGCATACAACCCACATTTAAGGTTATAAGTGTTATATAAGAATCACACTGATTATCTTCGGGCATCTAGCGAAGTTGCATTGAATCATCTACTCCCAGTTAGGAAATCCCTCTTACAACTAATTTGGAAGCAGTTACCGCAACATTTTTAGCCATAACACAACAATTATTACACTATGCAATATCTATATTCCAAACCGGACAGATCTACTCTTTGAAGACATTG